CCATTCACTAGTTGAACGGTTCAACCATTCAGATCAATGATGATTTAAAAATATTGGTCCAGTGACCTCTAGTAAAATGCAAACACATCAGTGTTTGCAATAAATTTAATGTGTTACAACAATTATTTTTTATTTCAAACATTGGCATATTCACATTTCATGGAAATCACTGAGCTTGTTCAAATATGGTAGTCTCAGGTAGTGTTTTCTTGTGTATATCGATGCATCCACCAAGTATGTTTTGGTTCCATGAACATCTTATAGATGGGGGTGTTTGTTGCTTTTAAAGTTCCCCCAAATGCCTCATGCATGTAAATCCAAGCATTTATATTTTTTATTATTTTTTGATAAAACGTTGAAACTAAACAATGGTTTCATGCATAATAAACATCAATGCCTATGTGATGCTGATATGATAATAACTTGTTTTTTTTTTTCAATAAATATTCACGAAACCAAACATAGCCAAAGTCTTTGTGACTTGCCATTTTTTTTTGTGTCATGGGTTATATAGCATACAAGCACCCCCATCATGGTCAAGCCCATTGTCATCATTTTCAGCTCTTTCAAACTCCACATGCAAATAGAGTTTTCCAAAATGACATAAATTGTGGCGAATGCATCCTTTGCCTCCCACACTTCCCTCTTTCTAGTACATGGATTTGTGTTCGTGTGTGGGAAACTCATTGACTTACCAAAGGTACCATATACCATTTTATTTATTTTTCATATTTTAGGTCTAATACACTGTAAGCTACAGCATTAATAATAATTGAGAGCATGCCATTAGCATTTTCTATTGATTTTAATGTCAACATATCGGACCAATTGAGGGCTAGCTCATTGGTGTATTAGTTGGTTTGTTCAAACGTTGATGCGGATTCGAATCCCGCAACCAACACTTTGGGGAAGAAGGAAGTCAAGGGAAGTCATTAATGGTGCATGGCATCCAAATATATAAAAAAAAAGAGTCAACATATTATTGATAGTGTCTAATGCTGCTTGATCCGAGGTAGTTCTTGAACCGATGTCGCAGTCAGACAATCCTACCAATTGGGCGAAGCCGAGGTGGAAGGATGAAGCCGTGCTCTAATACCTGAAACCATGAAAGTGGTCAAAGGCCTGATGAGTTATCCCTGTGTAGGTACTTCAATGCTCAATCTAGTCGAGAATAGTGGGCGCTCGGGCCGAGTAGTTAGAGAACGGTGCTGGTCCGAACAGAGTAACGGTATGAAAGTCAAAAGTTAGATCCCTTACCTTGAGTGAGATGTATTTTTTTTATAGCTCAAGATCCGTGTTCTGGTCATATGAGGCTTTCAGGACTGTTGGGATGAGGTTGCCCACCAAGGTATTTGGGATAAGACCTAATCCCCAACGGAGTTGTCATCATTTGTACGACGTTCTCCTGTCTTTGTCACATTTATCCATATGATGTGATGCTGATGTGGCCGAGGTGATAAGGCGACTATGAAGGTGACACGTGGCATTTGAGGTTAGCTCAACTATAAACCAAACAGTGTCAATTATTTTGTATGTATTTTTACTGTATATATTTGTATATGTATTCTTTCCAAACTTAACTTTATGAAATAATGTATGTACATTTTTGTTATTATTTACTATATATGTAAATATAATAAGTATATATGCTTACATGCATCACCACATATTTATTAGTATAAAGATAAAATCTATAATGTGGGAAAGACATGGTAACGGAAGAGTTTTGACCTTGATAAATAACACCTGATTGACTACCACGTTTATGATTCTAGTTGACTGGTCAGACGCTTTTCAAGTATCATATATTTTTCATATCACTAGTAGGGAATCCGTGCGATGCATGGAAAAACCCAATGTCTAATTTGCTGGTAAAAATGATCAAAATGATATATTGAATGTCAACTCCTAGTAAATTTCTAAAAGTATATATACTAAATTATTGATTTTTTAAATATATTAAATAATTTATTTTATTTTTTAAATATATTATTTACAAAATTACACTAATTTATCTTTTATTTTTCAATATAAGTTAATTAATAATCTCCTTTTCTAAAATTTTCCAATATTATACTAATTTATATTAACAACAGAAATAATTTGTGTAATTATTGGTTCAAATTAACGTTTTCCTTTACCAATACTAATTTGTCTTTAATAGTTTAAAATGAAAATCACATAATTTTTAAATAATTTTCCAAAATCTATCAAATGTAATAAAAATTCCCAAATTTCCAAAATATTCCAATAATTTTCAATAATTATTTACTACATTTAAAAGAAATTTTCTAAAATTACATTAATATATATATATATATATATATATATATATTATTTTCTTCTCCAAAATTTTGTTTTCCAATTTGCAAACTCTACCAACTCTTTCCTGGAGCTATAATTGTTGAATTTATTTTTCAATTTTATAAATTTTAAATGACATTTATAAAGAAATTATTGATTGAAAATTTTGTATATCCATTGATTTCTAGTAATAAAATTAATTTTAAGAAATTGTAACTATAGTAAAACATTTATTATAATGATTACTCCATTTAATTACTACACCAAAATTCCAATAATAATTATTTTGAAAAAATAATTAATTTAACTACACTAATAATTATTATTGGAATTACATATAGTATTTTGAAAATAACAATTTTTTCTATAATAATTAATGTAACTTAATAATTATTATTACACTAATGAAATTACATCAATAAATTTCTGAAAATGTAATAAGATGGAAATATATTTTAATGATAGAGGTATAAATGGAATAATGAAATCAGGGTCCTTTAACGATAACATTAAGCCAAGGTTCAAAATATCGGCCGACGTATCAGATGTTTCGATATATTTTTTTTAATTTTTAATTTTTAATTTTTAATTTTTTTCAAAACTGATTCAGGGGAGCCGGTCTAGGACCCCTCCATCCCCTAAAACGATACGTATCAGCCGGTCTAGGACCTCTCCATCCCCCTCCATCCCCTGTAATTACAGTATTTTGAAAATAACAATTTTTACTATTATAATTAATATAACTTAATAATTATTATTACAGTAATAATAAAATTACATTAATAAATTTCTAAAAATATAATAAGATGAAAATATATTTTAATGACAGGGGTATAAATGGAAGAATGAAATCAGGGTCCTTTCACGATAACATTGTGCCATTCTTATTTTTATTAATGGGTAAGATATTCGAACCTAATTTAAATGTACCTTCTAATAAATAATGTATTATGTTGTATCGCGTATAAGCCTTGTATGCATATAGTTATATATACATCAACAAATACATGCAAAAGTGTGTGCACGTACTAGGTAGGTTTGAGTTGGGCAGGGCGAGAGCCACGAGAGCTATGGTCCAGCATGGCCCTAAAGCACTTCCAGGCAAGTTTAGTTAGCCCGATCGGGTTGGGACTATCTCAGTTATTGGTTTTGGGGGATGACAGATAGGGGTATCAATTGGATTGGATTTGGTCAAATCTGATCCAGTCCAATGTGAATCCATTATAAATGGATTTGGTCTAATCCAATCCAATAAATGTTTTAGACCAATTTGGACCAGTCCAATTCAATATCTGGACCATCCAATCTGTTCAAATTCATTTTGATTTAAATTGGTTTCAACCCAAAATTGGTCTATTGATACATACATTCTTATCTTATATTAATGGACCAGATATTGGCTTAATCCAATCCAATCCAATCCAATATGAATTTGTTTCAGACGAACCAGGTCCAATCTAATCTAATAAATATTTTGGACTGGATTGGTCCAATCCAATATGTCTTCATCCAAATTGATTTTCGACTAGACAGGGTCCAATCCAAACCGGTCCATTGACACCCTTAATGACAGAAATGTGATAAGACTCTATTTAGTTCACGGGAACAGGGGTCTGGAGTCAGAATTGGAATATGTTATTCCGATTCAACTGTTTGGTTGGGTGGAATCGGAATCCCATACCTATTATTGCTAGAATGACATTTTCCCATTTGAGGAAATGGCCATTTTCTGCCTTATCCTTGAAAATAAAATCACATTCCTGTTGATTTTAATTCCTATTTTAAATCATATCTGAACCAAATAGAAAATGGGAATGGCCCATTTTGATTCTGATTTCTGAGAAATTCCGTTTTGATTCCAATTCCTATTCCGGCTGCTCACATACAAAGCTTTTCCGGTATCACAATCCCAACACTTGTTTTGGGGTAATCGGATAAGGTTTTCTACCGGCTTCACCGCTACTATCAGTTCATCACCGCCGCTGAAAAATAACTCAAAGAAGAAGGTGGATGCAAGTATACAATACAGAATTTTTGAATTGTATTTTCTGTTTATTCTTCTATTGTTCAGTTTCACAAAATTATTTGTATATCACAATTTGGAATCTGATGCATTAAATGACATAAAAATTCTTCCTTTTAGACTGTGTTTAGTTTGAAAGAAAAATTAAAAAGAAATTATTTTTTTCTTTGACTGTTCATATAAACCCTATACCCCAGCGTATATTATAAAACAAAAAACATAGACTAGGGATGATGATGAACCGGGCTGGGCTTTGGGCCTATGTCACCAAAAGTGGAATAGTTTTACTTTTATGAGAATCATACACACAAAAAATCGGTTCATGTGTTTATGTTGGTATCCCTCCATTCTTCTAGGCATACAAAGTGAATTCTTTCTTTGATTGGCTTTCTGTGGAAATTGGTGGGTTGGGCCGGCTTTAAGATCAACTCAAGCTCAGTTCTAACTTTTGGGCTTAAGGCCCGAGCCTAGACCAAGCCTGTACTTTTCATTTCTGGCCCGGTAGGCAAGTTCGTCCAACATTACTCAGACCATCGGGAGTCCGGAGACAGGACCGAGCCTAGACCAAACCTAGACTCAAAGGTTGTGTTTGGGTTCCCTCAACTCTACGTTTTTCTCTTAATATCGAACCAAATCATAGCAAAGGCTGAAAGGCTCAGCTGTCGAAACCCTAAAAAGTTGAGAGTTTTTTTTCCTTTCTGGTAGCAAAAAGAAAGGCAGAGAGGCTTTGTTTGTTCGTTTTAACCACACAAAAATTAATTTTGTCTTCTTTGACTGAACTCGGTCCCCTCTTTCCTTTTGGGTTCCACCGGACGGGAGTAGTACTAGAAGTCTAGAACCATTACCCATATCACCGATCCCGCCCCTCCCCCCAACGGCTCAAACCCAACCCTTGTGTAGGCGGGGTTCGATCGCAAGTCTCCGCTACTGCCGGCCAGAGACCTTACCGACGGACCCGGTTCGCATATTCTAAACGGGGATATATATAATCTCTAAGAGCTTAATGGGTTGGACGAATTCGCGGTTCCCAAGTTAATAACCTTTTCTTCGCAGTCATTGCATTAGCTTCAAGTGCCGCCGTCGTCTACTAGCTTCTCGTCGGCTGCTGTGCTGCGCAGGTCGATTCTTCTCCGCCCCTTGATCGTAGTGTTTAGTTTACTTCTTTTTTTTTGTCTTTATTTGTCTTATTGAATGTTTATTCGCTATTGTCTATCCATCCTTCTGCAATCCGAGTGTGCTTTGAGAGTTTACTTTAATCCGATGTTCAGTAGCTTCTTGTAGTTGTTCTTTCTGTACTGCTCTTTGTAGGTTCTCTATTTTTATGTGGGTTGTTCTTTTTTTCTTGGTCGGAAGCACCTGTTCTTCATCTTTTTTTTTTTTTTTGTATTCTCTTGTTTGTGGAGTTGGACATTTAATTTTTAGGAAGATTGATGGAGTTTCAAACGAAACTATAAATATTCTTCTGATTTTTGTACATAATTTCTCTAAAGAAAAATGGTGTTTTGTTTTTCCATTTTAGATTTTTTTAAGACGTGCATACGTAATTCTTGTAGCATGCTTATTCATTACTTACTCTGCTTATTGTAAAATTGTTTTTAATTGAAGTTTTTTATGACTTACATTAATATTTGCAGTAACTTATTTTCATCTGGTAATGACGACAAATGAAATAATTCAAATTTGTTTTGGTGGAATAGAGGGGTTCAACATGGCAGGAAAGCATAACAAAGCAAAAAATAGGAGGGTATCACAGAATGCCATGCACTCTACAGAACCAGTTTCCTCTAATGTTCCGATGAAAGATGAGTCAAGCACTTTAGAATCGGTCAAGGCTGATAGTAATGGAGCTTCTTCACCGAATGAATCCGCCAATACCAAGTCAGAGGTGACGGACGCTCCATCAGTGCCACCAACAAACCAGTCAAAGCAGGGTGAGATAACTCAGAATCATTCTGTTCCATCTTTTCTTTGTTTTCTCTTTAACCTTCCATGTGCATATATTAACTTTTGTTTTTCTTTATCCTCCTAAACACATTTAAACCAAAATCCAGGAAATAATGTCTTGACTGTTTCTATTTGTCCATTTTTTGATCAATGTTTCTACTATGTCTATTATTGAATGTAAAAGCAGAAAATAACATTTTTAGTATTGATTATATATGTGACAAAAAATGTACTCGTGAAGTACGGGATAAATTGCCAAACAGATTATATAAAATTTTGAAGAGTGCAAAAAATATCAATTAACTTAATGCATCCCCACTTTTCCTTGCATATTTTTTTTGTTATATTTAGTTCAATTTGGAACCTGAAATGGATCTTCTAGAGGGGACAACAATCTCTATGCCAATCTAATAGGTATTGGACTCCAAATTCGGTTCACTGAACAGGATGGTCATGCCACTAAGGGCTAGATTGAGCTGATTAGTTTCAGGGCACCGTCTGTGGGAATCAAACCCATTTTCAGGGCTGTCTTTATGTAAAAGAGAAGCCTGATGTGTGGGAAAAAAGCTGAGAATAGAAGAAGAAACACTTGATGGTCATTGGTGCTATTGGCTCTTGGGCCTGTTCTGTTCTGTTGTTTTGTGTTTTGTTCTGGGGTCCATGTCCGAGCATTTGCTTTGTGTGTATGTGTGGGGCGGGGGTGTTTTCTGTCAATGTTGGGCTGGTCTTGTTTAATCTTCATTAACCTATCATGACCTTTTGCTTCTCTTTTCTCGCTTGTTTTCCTTTTTCAGTAAATGCCAGTGTTGGCAAGAAAAATGATGTCTATTACAAGCACCATAAACTCCTTGTATACATATTCCCCCAATATCCTAATCTAAAATAGGGTTTTGGAAAGGGATATTGTCTCCTCTAATGTAGCACCTCTAAAATTATCTTCCTTGCATTTCTGATAAAAAGGATATTGGTCCTTTAGTGCTTTCAATGTAGTTAAAGCATCACCTAAGCGATTGCCTGGGTGTTTCCAAGGCCCATTACTTAGGAGACCAGCTATGAGGGCGATATAAATATAAACATCTTAGTGGGTGAAAATAATTACCTATGTCCTCTTATTTATTGCTTTGAGTTTTTTAACCTATTTTGGTCAAGAGAGGAATGTATTATAATGCTAAAAATTAAAACTTATAATTCTTGTGTACATGAGTGCTTTTCTCTGAACCAAAGGGGATTGTTAAAAATCTTGTCATTGTTTTTGAAAATTAAGTTGTCTTCTGGTGTTTTTGCCATTCTATTCTGTTAAGTGCCATATTCTGATATTCATAGTAAAAATGTGTATTTTACTTATTCATTTTTGTAGCCTAGGGGAAGTCTAGTTGTTGGCTAGGATTTACTCGTCTTGTCAAGCCGAAATGCCTAGGCATCACCTAGCCATATTAACCACACTGAGTGCGTCCATTGATCTCATTTTCAATATCATTTTCTTTGATGTGAGAAAGAGAATAAATATAGACATATCTTGTCTGTATTTTTTGTTTTTTATTTTACCTTCTTTGTTCCTTATAAATGATTTCAGTTCTCTGTAAACAGGTGACATCCATCTATATCCTGTTTCTGTCAAGACACAATCTGGCGAGAAGCTTGAGTTACAAGTAAGTGAAGACGATGTAGCATGCTATTTTGGATATATTTTGTTTTTTTTTAACATTTTATCCTGTTTGGAATTTGGATGATTGAAAGTGACTCATGGAAGAGCTATTATGCACTTTTACACTATATAACTTAGGGTATTGTACTTTTTATTCTAACCTCTAATATTTGCATCTTTTAAATTTTCCATCATCTTATTAAGCTGCTCCATTCTTGAACTATATGCCTTTTGTTTTTGAACTACAAAATGTTTTCCTTGTCTACTATAAATGCCACTTCAATTGATAATGTTGATATTTGGTTCTAATGTGCAGTTAAGTCCAGGAGATTCTGTTATGGATTTAAGGCAGTTTCTTCTTGATGCTCCTGAGACCTGTTTTGTTACTTGCTATGATTTAATACTGCATACAAAGGATGGTTCAATTCATCATTTAGAAGATTACAATGAAATTTCTGAAGTTGCTGATATTACCACTGGTGGTTGCTCATTGGAGATGGTTGCTGGTGTGTTGAAGCTTTTCTAAATAAATATATTTTTTTCCTGCTTCTATCATATAGTTTTGAAGTCTTGTTATATTCTGGGTTCTAATAATGTTTGTTGGATAGCAGCATTATATGATGATAGGTCTATCCGGGCCCATGTTCACCGTGCTAGGGAGTTGCTTTCTCTCTCCACACTCCACTCTTCATTATCAACATCACTTGCATTACAGCATGAGACTATGCAAAACACAACAACAGGTACCACATGCTTGTGATTGTGCACTTATACATCTAATATGTTTGCTTTGTTTTTCCCATAGAATTGTTCTCCCTTCTGCCTTTTCTTCTTGAATATAGCTGCATGTCTTTAGTCTTATTACTTTGCTTGGTTCTCTACTTTATTGTGTTCCAGATTCTTCGAAAATTGAAGTCCCAGAGCTTGATGGATTAGGATTCATGGATGATGTTACCGGTTCGCTTGGTAGTTTGCTATCATCTTCTGCTCAAGAGATCAAATGTGTGGAAAGCATTGTCTTTTCTTCATTCAATCCTCCTCCAAGTTATAGGAGGTAAGTTATAAACTAGGTATCGTTCTTTGTTTTATTTGTATATTTCTCTCTTTTCTACAATTTCTCATAAATTGTCAAGAAAGGAAAAGAGAACTAAATATATTGACCTTTAGAGTATTTCTATGAAAGAAGTTCCACACACTTATTCCAATCCACTTTCCTTTGTTCTTATTCTTTTTCTTAATCTCAAGGCTTGTTGGAGATTTGCTTTACCTGGATGTGGTGACACTGGAGGGAAATAGGTTCTGTATTACGGGAACCACAAAATCATTTTATGTGAACTCAAGCACTGGCAATACCCTAGACCCAAAACCAGTCAAAGCTTCATCTGAAGCAACAACCCTTATTGGACTTCTACAAAAGATTAGTTCCAGATTCAAGAAAGGTAAAAAATGGTAGATCATAACTTGATTCTGTGGCTTGAATGTTCCTTTTGAATATCCTGTTATTGGCTTCAATTGATGTGTGTTCCTTTTTTTATACTTTGAAGCTTTTCGTGAAACTTTGGAGCGGAAGGCCTCTGCACACCCTTTTGAAAATGTTCAGTCTCTATTGCCACCAAATTCATGGCTAGGAGTTTATCCTGTTCCTGGTAACTTTGGCTTCTCAAAAGTTAATGACGGAGTTTTATAGCTTTTGTTTCAACATCACTGGCTTGTGGAGATTCTGGAAGCCAGAGATTTTGGTTTCTTCTTGTTAAGCATGCTTTTCTTGTTTCAAATTGAAATTCTGCAATGCTTTTCATGTATCAGTAAAGAACAAGGTGTAGTCACCTAATTGCTGTAATGTTCTACTCTGCTATCTACTTCTATGAATGACAGGTAGGTTTCTTTTCAATCTAATAAAATTTATGTAATTGTTGATTATAAAAAGAAGTTATAAAATTTATGTAATTGTTGATTATAAAAAGAAGTTATAAAATTTACGTAATTGTTGATTATAAAAAGAAGTTATAAAATTTATGTAATTGTTGTTTATAAAAAGTTCTCTGCACAATTGCTAATTACATAATTTTTGTATTATTCAACTTTTGGTTAATTTATGTTTTAAAAACTTATCCTATAATTTATTAGTATCTCAATCTTTTTAGAATTTTGAAAAGGTGAAGATGCAACCACTCACTCTTCTTTCTGTCTATTTTTCAGGGGTGAAAACTTTCCCATTTTGTGCGTCTTTGGTGTCATTAGATAGGTTATTGGATGGCGTTTTCAATGAAATCATAATAGTGTAAACGTGGTGCTTTTCAGTTGTGTTATGACTATATTTTGTAATGGTAGGTTTTTAATGGAATTAGGAACAAAGGCTCAATTTGGAAGGAGTACAAATGCAAATATGTAGATTGCAAAACCTTGTATTTTGTATTATTTTGTTCATATTTGTACTATACATATTGGCATTTGTACTCTTTCCAAACTGAGCCTTGCCTTTGTTCTTTTTTGGTTTATCTTGGAGTTATTTTTGGTTTTAGTTTTAATAGAATTTTGGAGGTTTGTCTTTGTTCTAAAGGAATTTGGATTTAGGAGTAATTCTTGGTCACTTTCAAGGTGGAATTGGAGTTTGTAGAGGGAAACCTGAGCCCTTCTGTTGAATGCTTGGCTCCTTGGCTCTCATGACCTCAAGCATAAGTGCTTGGCCCCTTACCTCTCAGCAACTCAACCAAGTGTTTGGTCCTTTACCTTTCATGAATTCACAGAAAAAATGAACTCTCATCTGGATATCGTATCATCTCCCTGCTTCCTACTGGATGAATTGGCATGATAAGGAATGCTTGCATACATGACAAAAACAAACAAGGAATGCAAATTTTTTTTTTATTAATGACCATCTTTCTAATCAACAACATTTTTTCAATGGTAATTTATTTAGGAAAAAGGTATATGCTTATGTTTTAATGGTAATTGCTGCAGATTTATCTGTTATTTTCTACTGCAAAAGTTCTTGGCTCTATGCCTTTATCTCCAAGTGTTGTTTTTTTAATAGAAAGCTAAAGTTTCTTTTTGTCCATTTCAATTTTTTAGATGTTCTTAAATTCAGGTTTATGCGTATTGATAAAAAAAAATCAGGTTTATGGGTTCTTTCTATTGCAGATCACAGACGTGATGCAGCAAGAGCAGAGGATGCCCTGACCCTTTCATATGGCAGTGAGCTAATTGGCATGCAGAGGGACTGGAATGAGGAACTACAGTCTTGTCGGGAGTTCCCTCATTCAACTCCTCAGGAAAGGTGTAGTTTTATCATTCTTTTACTGTTATGCATACATTTCATGACTACCTGATCTTCTCATCATCCATGGATTTTTAGTGTTAACTGTTTATTGATAACTTTCTTGACATTATATCTCTCCCCCCTCAAGTGTTTGTCAATTACAAGTGGCATCAGTGGTTTACCTTATTTATCAAGATAATTTTTATTGCAGGATCTTGCGTGATAGGGCTCTCTATAAGGTTACATCTGATTTTGTTGATGCAGCGATTAGTGGTGCAATTGGAGTCATTAACAGATGCATACCCCCTATTAATCCAACTGATCCAGAGTGTTTTCACATGTAAGATTGTACCAAAATATACCAAAATGTTTTTACATCTTGTTTTGTTCTAAATGGTTGAATAATGTTTCTGACAAATAGGTCTAAGGTGGCATGATCTGTAAAAAACACAGGTTGGGGGGAATTTCAACTTAACTCATGTCAACTCAGGAAGCATTGCCCTTGGGAGTCACATTGCAAAACTGAATGGACTAACACACTTCATAATTTAAATGGAGTTGGCAAATTCTATAAGATGGGTTCAAAATGTAGAAAATTCTATTGATAAAAAAGTGGTCCTTGGTGCATGGCACATCTACTCAATAGAATTAGGGAATCCTTGGAAGACATGTTTTGGTTTAGATGGATCATTTTTAATCAGTAACAGTGAATACCATTGATACCTGTAAAAGCTTTGGATATCATTGATAATGAAAAGTTTGGAAGTACTGATAAAAAAATAGAAAGTTTGGAAGTACAACACTATCCTCCAATTTGTGTTGGAGTAGGACAGAAACCTTACAGCAGCTGTAGACTGTCAAAGTTCCATTAACACTAATACTATATAAGACTACTGATTTCCACTAGGCCCTTCATTCCCCTCTCTAACTTAACACCCATCCTTGCTAGAGTATCTGCTTAAGTGTTAGCAGACCTCAGAATCATATGAATGAGGAAGGCGTAGGAAAAACAACATCTCAAAAATTAAAGTTGACCAAAGGAAGGTAGAAGATGCGGAGGAGATAACAGAGACTTTTCTTAACCATTTTAAAGAGCTCTATTCTAAGGAAAGTTTCAGAAAACTGACACTAAGAAGCTGGGATGGGCCGGCCCTAACAGAAGAAACGATGAATTGGCTTGAAAGAGAATTTCAGGAACAAGAAATAAGGGAATCGGTTTTTGATGTTGATGGAGACAGAGCCCCTAGGCCAGATGGCTTTCCTATCTTCTTCTTTCAGACCTGTTGGGACATAAATAAAAGAAGATCTGTTAGAGGTATTCAAGGAGTTTTACTCTTCGGCTGTTGTAAATAAAGGCAATAATTCGACCTTTATTTGTCTGATCCCGAAAAAAGAGGTGTCTTGGAATTTAAGGATTTCAGGTCTATAAGTTTAGTAGGGAGTGTGTACAAAATCTTGGCAAAGGTGTTGGCAAAAAGGATCAGAGAAGTCCTAGGAGATTTGGTCTCACCTAATCAGTTTGCTTTTGTGAAAGGTCGACAAATTGTGGATAGTATCCTAATAGCAAATGAAAGTGTTGAAGAGAGAAGGAAGAGTGGCAGGTCGGGTCTTCTTGTCAAACTTGACCTTGAAAAGGCATATGACAAAGTTGATTGGGGTAGCCTCTTTCAAGTCTTGAAACTGAGGGGCTTTGGAGTTAAATGGTTGCAGTGGATGAAAGGATGCATTAGCTCAACCTGGTTTTTTTCAATCATCTTGAATGGAGAGTCCAAAAGTTATTTCAAGGCAAGCAGAGGTCTTCGACAGGGATGCCCTCTCTCTCCTTTTCTTTTTACTCTGGTGATGGATGTTTTCAGCCAGCTCGTAGACAAGGCATAAAATCTAAATTTAATAAAAGGTTTTGAAGTAGGAAGAGATGCCCTCAACATTTCCCACCTCCAATTTGCAGATGATATTATTCTAATCTTGGAAGCTGATCTGGAAAACATAGGCCCTGTTTGGCGCATCTTTTTGCACGGTCAGTTGACTATTTACAAGCCTGGTAGACCGCATTTGCGTCTTTTCTTGTTTGGTTCGTAGTAGATCTAGTTGTCAAAAGCCGATGCGCCAAAAAGATGTGAGAAGCCCATTTTGGGTGATTTTCGGGAAGCTCCAAATAGAGCTTTTCAATTTATTTATTTTTTCCGGTTCATCTTCGCGCGGAAAGACGCGCGAAAAGACATGCCTGAACCAAACAATCTTCAGGCTGTCAAGATCTTAATGCAAAAGCTCACTGCATCTTTTTACTGTCAGAGCTACCAGAAGATCTTCCCAAAAAAGACTTGCCAAACGGCCCCATAATTAATATGAACTGTTTTGAACTAGTCACCGGACTGAGGGTTAACTTCACAAAGAGTATTATAGTGACAATCAATTCAGTTGAAGAAGCTCTCGTGGAAAGGTTCAAGGAAATTCTGAACTGCCGAGTGGAAAACCTTCCCCTATTTAGGCTTTCCTTTGGGTGGGAACACAAAAAGTCCAAGTTTTTGGGAGCCGGTGTTGGAAAAATGTGAAAAGAAGCTAGCTACTTGGAAGCGATGCCATCTGTCAAAAGGGGGAAGGCTAACACTCATTAAGACTTCCCTTGCAAATCTGCCCTCCTATTTCTTCTCAGTGTTCCAAATTCCTGGCAAAATCAGAACACAAATTGAGAAACTTCAAAGAGACTTCCTTTGGGATGGTGGAGGGGAGATAAGAAATCTAGTGAGTTGGGCTCAGACTTGTAAATCTAAAGAGGTGGGAGGGCTGGAAATTGGTCACCTGAAAGAGAAGAGCACTTTTCTACTTGGAAAATGGCTTCTGGAGATTCCCTAAAGAGACAAACTCTCTTTGGGCAGCTGTCATCACCAGTAAATATGGGTTGGACACCAATGGTTGGGACTGCAACCTTCATTCAAACTGTGTAACTTCATCAACCCCTTGGAAAGGTATCATCTCAACCTCTAACAAATTCTTTCCTTCATAAGGTTTATAGTGGGCAATGGTACTAGAATAAAATTCTGGACTGATCTGTGGTGGGGCAACACTACTTTAGCAGTTTCCTACCCTAGACTTTTTAACCTCACCCTAAACATAGAAACAACCATCTCACAATGCCTCCCCTCTTCCCCCATTGAGAGCTGCATAAACTTGAGCCTTAGAAGACCCTTAGGCGAGTTCTCTTCCAATTCTTTCTTTAAGGTTCTGGTTGCAGAGGAGCAGAATTATCACTTCCTTTTCAAGAAGATCTGGTGCAACTACATCCCTTCTAGAGTGTGTTTCTTTGTATGGGTGACTGTTTGCATAGGATAAACACTTGTGAGCTATTGCAAAAGAAGAATTTTGGCGGACTTTTCATCTCCCCTCATGTCTGCATCCTTTGCATGAGAGAAGGGGAACCAACCGACCATCTTTTCGTTCACTGTCAGGGAACCAGGGATATCTGGAGCCATTTTCTACAGCTAGCTGGGTACAGCTGGGTTGCTCCAAACCACCTCCAGGACTTGCTTCATCAATGGCAAGGCAAAGAGCTGAGTAAAAGAGGTAAGGTATATTGGCAAATAATTCTGCATGCTGTACTTTCGGAAGTTTGGGAAGAAAGGAACAACCGCTTGTTTGAGAACAAAGCTAAGACAAAGACTGATATGATCTCTCATATTACCTATCTATGTAATCAGTGGGCTTCCAACTCAGACAAGCTTAAAGGAGTCTCTATAATTGACCTAAACAGGGATGCTGGTTTTTACCTTCTCTCCTCCCTTCTCACCTCTCTTCCCCATTCACAGGGGCCCCTTAACCAAGAGAGAAGGAACTTGGACTCTAAGTTTTGATGGAAGTGCTTCAGGGAACCCTGGTACTGCTGGTATTAGAGGAGTATTAAGGGATGAAAATGGGAACACTTGCTGGGTGTACAGTGGGCCGATAGGTATAGCTGACTCTTCAAAGGCAGAAGTGATGGCTGCACTTACAGGAATCCGATTGATCAAAAGACTAGTCATTCAGCATCTATCCATAGATGGAGACTTTACAAACACAATAAAGTGGTTAGGAAGACAGGATGCTGGGCCGTGGAGACAGTCATTTTCTGACAGAGGTAAAGGGTCTATTGGCCAGTGTTTTAAAAGCGTAAGGCGCACAAAAGGCGCAGGGGTCAAGTTGCGCCTGAGGCACAAGGCACAAGGCACAAGGCAAGGCACATGCCTTTTTGAAGCAAGGCGCAAAAATACAAAAAATGTTAAAAAATAAAAAAATGTCAAAATTAAAAAAAAGCCAAAAAATTCAAAAAATATAAAAATATTAAACATAATCTTAATAAAAAAATATAAACTTAAATTTTAAATTAAATGTTTTAAAAAACCTATTATCTAAAATTAAAATACATAGACATAAGATGTAAAGCATATTCAAATGAGAAATTAAAAATAAAATCAAACATATAAAACATTTTCAAGCATGTAAAACCTCTAATCTCTTTTTTCAATCAATTGCATTACTTCAAGTAGCTAATGTAATGTAAAACATATTACATTCCTGATTCTACGAGCCGCCTTTGTGCCATGTCCCTCGAGGCAAGCTTAAACAAGTCCACATTAGGCCTTAAATTCTTAGTTTTCACACAAAAAATAACAATTTTATAGTTTTAATTGCTTTTTAAGAAAACATTTTATTAGGATGAATGAATGAGCAACATTACCAAATTGGGGGTTCTACTATGCTCCGAACTTGTTTGGGCTTGCCTCGAGGGGCGTGGAATGGGGGTCCGGGGCGGAGCCCCCAGCCCAGCTGCTATGTTTAAAAAAAGTAAAAAAGCGTCAAATTTTCAAAAAGGCGCACGCCTAGGCTGAGGCTGAGGCTGAGGCGCATCAAGCGTTGGCCTAGGTGCACCAGGCGTGTGCCTTTTGAAAGTGCTGAGCCTAGGACCTAGGCAAGGTGCATACCCTGAAATGCGCCTCGCCTGTGTGCCTAGGCGCACCTCAGGCATGATTCCAAGGGATCTTAATGCTCTTGCAGATGGGTTAGCAAAATTTGGTGCTTTTTTAGAATTGCTGTACTGTGATAAGATCCATCCTGTGTAATTTTCAGGGGTCTGATCCATGTTTGTTTGTCTTCTTTGTACACCCTCTTGTGTACCCCTCTCTTTTCTTAAGGCTCAGTTTTGAAAGAGTACAAATACAATTTTGTAGAGTGCAAAACCTTGTATTTTGTATGTATTTGCACTGTACATATTTGTATCTGCACTCCTTCCCAAGTGAGCCCGATGAATTTGGTTAACTTTTCTCAATAAAATAAAAAAAGATGGTAGATAACACAGTTTTCTGACAAGATATCTTAAAACCTAAGGTCCCTCTGTTAGCAAAAAGCCACATCTTACAACCGGTTACTTAAATTTCTTCTCAAACTTGGATTCCAGTTTCCTTCCTCTCCCTCTGGTGAGAACCCTTCTATAATCCTGTTATCCTTGTTCTGGACAATCTCAAACAGTGTTGGTAATTGCTCCCTTGGTGGCCGGTCCCTACACCAAGTTTTGAACTAGAATCTTATCCTATATCACCCGTACCTCATATTTAATTCCTTTCTCCCTTCTTGACTTCATCAAAAAGATTGTTGTATGCCTCTCCACACAGAAAACCCATAAGATGCATAAAATTCACCTGGGTCCCAGTTAAAATTTCTAGACCCGTACTTCACCACAATTGTTCTTCTCCACAAGCTATTGGGTTACTCATTCCATCTTCAAAACCACTTTCCTAGTAGTACTGAATCGAACTTAATCATCTCACCCCTGAATCACTGGCCTTGGTGAAATATCCCTGAAGTTTCCTCATCTCTTCATGAAAAAAACAACCCATCGATAGCAAAATTTTGAATCATGATTGCTAGGAAATGGCAATAGAATTTTGGCCCTCTCCATCCAATCTAGGTAGACAATCCAAACATAAGTTTACTACCACTTTACCTCTCTAGGAATCCATCAAAAGTTGAACCCAGATGTGCCTTCTGGCTCTATACCTTGGTCCCGAACCCAAACACAAGTTCTTTGGGTGGGCCCTGCTCCAATATCAGTTTTTTTCTTTGAAGATAACCAACACAGGTGGCATGCTTCAACAGAGGACTAAGTTGTGCCTCTCTCCTAGTATGTTGTTTGAAGAATGGTGAGAGTGCAACTCATCTTTTTTTTTTCCTGGAATGCTCATTCACAACAAAAGGTATGGAGCTATTTTTTACTTGTGATGCCCAAATGGAAGTAGAGGATTTGTTCTCAAATCAGTTATGTCCCAAATGGAAGCCATCACAGTAGCACTTTAATCAGTTGTGTCCCATCTCAAATCAGTTATATACCAATATATACATATATTAGTAAATATACATTTCTTTGATACTTGATGTTGTTTAACAATGCTTAACAATGTTTATTGGCTATTTAATAAATCTTACTATTCAATGATAAAAAAATTACAAACAACTCCATGCCATATTTGTTGCAATCCCATATAACTGGTCTCATTCTCTAAACGATCATTGTTTTTTTGTTAGGTTGCTTAATGTTTTCAGCAGTTATTTTATTAACATATTTGGTTTTTATTCTACTTCAGGTATGTACACAATAATATATTTTTCAGTTTTGCTGTGGATGCGGATATCGGACAATTCTACAAAAACCATGCGTCAAATGTTAAATTAAAGTTTGAGAACACAAATACTTCTCCCAATTCCTATGAAAAGGCATCAAGTGATGTGATTCATGAAACTGGGGCTATTTCCAAAGCAGATATATACAATGGCTCAAATTCAGAGGAAATTCATGAAGTTAAAGCTGTGGCTGCTGATGCGTCTGTTGACTCCCAATTGGCTGAAAGTGAACAGGCTACATATGCTTCTGCTAATAATGATTTGAAAGGCACTAGAGCTTATCAGGAAGTTGATGTTCCTGGGCTTTATAATCTTGCCATGGCCATAATTGATTACAGAGGTCATAGAATAGTAGCACAGGTGGGGATTGAAAGTTAATGTGTGCTTATTTTTCTATATCTTAAAAGATGTTTTTGTTTTCATTTTCTCATTGTAGTAGCTTTAATTTCATCATCCTCATCTTCTTCTTACATTGTTATAATCTTCCTTTGCAGAGTATTATACCTGGAATTCTTCAGGGAGATAAGTCGGATTCTCTTTTGTATGGCTCAGTTGACAACGGAAAGAAAATTTGCTGGAATGAAGCGTTTCATTCCAAGGTGATGGACTTGCTTTTTGGTTTGTAAGCTTGATTCTTTGTAGTTTGTGTTGTTTTAATGTCTAATTGCAAAAGTTGTTGGGTAGATGGTTTGCAATTAAGGAATGGGTTAGAGTATTTCACATAAGTGGGGCAGAAAGGCATGATTCACTTATTTTTTTTCCATAATATGCTTTTTTCCCCATAATATACTTTTGATAGAAATTAATGCCATCATCTATGTTCTATGTTTTTTTTTCTTAGCAAGGAATGTTTATATGATTTGATCTTGGTTCTATTTTTATCATCATCTGATTAATTCCTTTTTTATGAGAACTAATTCTTTTATATCCTTAGGTATTAGAGGCTGCCAAGCGCCTACATTTAAAGGAACACACAGTCTTGGATGGATCGGGTAATGTTGTCAAACTAGCTGCACCTGTGGAATGCAAGGGTATTGTTGGAAGTGATGACAGGTGATCTTTTCTTGGTCTAACTTACTGTCTGATGACTGATGAGTTTCATTTTGTCGATGCATGCACTTCTCTTTGTGTTTTCTGAATGTTTGCACTCAGCTCTCCTTGAGCTTTACAGAAAATAAGTATGCCCTCTGTAACCTAAGATGAGAGGCTGGACATTTCCCCCTCATTTACGTTTTCTATTTTCGTTTATTCTCTAAACCTTCCAAAGATTGGCATTGGCACTCAACTCTCCTTGATTCTTATAGAAAATGAGCATGTCCTCACTGACCTAAGATGAGAGGCCTACACATCTCCTACCAGACCTGAAACACTGTTTTTTTTTTTGATAGATTACCAGACATGAAACACTTGATAAGAACTGAGAGTACTCTGCCTTGGGTATAAAGATCTACTAAGAACATACTATGATAAAGAAGAATATAGGTCGTGGTTCTGATTGTTAATTTTGTATTCTTAATCTTCAAGAGACCTCTAGCACATCTAAGTTGTCTATTCTAGATTTTGATCAGGTGGTAGTGGAAGGTGATTCACAGGTTGGTATTGATTGGATACTTTTCCCTTCCTCAGGCCCATGGTCTCTTATGTATTTCATCATCATCACCGATGCCTCAGCCCAATTTCCCAACTTTATGGACTCAGCTACATGAAGCCTATTTCACCATTTCATTATGTGTAGTGTCATATCTATTGTTAAATTATTAGTGCTGAAACCATTTCTTACTACCTGGATTCCAGATGTTATTTCTTATTTGGATGGTTCCAGTGTTGACTAATTCTTTGGAAGATAGTTCAGCTGCTTGGGAGGGTGGTTGATATGTGCTAGTTATACTAGTGATTAGCTTTGCAAACTAAAGGCACTTCTAGATTGGTTGTACATGGGGTCTGAACTCTGAAGAACTTTATTTGTAGTTATATAGACAATTAATCAAAGTCATTCTGGAGCTGTAAGGAGTTCAGGTTGCATATGAGCTAAACATGGAAAGCTTGTTGATTGAAAGTGATTCTAAGCTGGTGGTTGGATGGTTGAAAGAACTGGAGTTTGCATGTTGGTGCTACAGAAATGAAATGAAGAAATTTATATGGCTAATAAGAAACATGACATTAAGGCTACAATGGGTGAGAGTAGTGATTTGAAAGGCGCGCCTAGGCGCACAGGCGAGGCACATTTTGGGGTATGCGCCTCGCCCAGGTCCTAGGCACACCCCTTTCAAAAGGCGCACGCCTGGTGCGCCTGATGTGCCTTGCCCCTCAGGCGTGGTACAAAGGCCTATTTGCTAATGTTGTTCTTTCATTCATTGCAATAAAATATTTTCTTAAAAGGCAATGAAAGTTATAAAATCATTATTTTTTATGTGAGAAATAAGAATTTCAGACCCTAACATAGACTTGTTCGGGCTTGCCTCGAGGGGCGTGGTACAAATGCGACTCATAGAATCAAGAATGCAATATGTTTTACATCACATTAGCTACTTGAAGCAATGCAAATAAGGAGAAAAAGAAATTGTGGGTTTTACATGCTTGGAATTGCTTTATATGTTTGCTTTTATTTTTAAAATTTCATTTGAATACACTTTACATGTTAGGTTTATGTATTTTAATTTTAAATAATAGGTTTTTTAAAACATTTATTTTAGAATTTAAGTTTATATTTTTATTAACATTATGTTTAATATTTTTTGCATTTTTTGCATTTTTTCGATTTTTCTGATTTTTTTTGATTTTTTAACCTTTTTTTTTGTAATTTTGTGCCTTTCTTAAGAAGGCACATGCCTCACCTTGCGCCTTGCGCCTCAAGCGCAAATTGGCCCTTGCGCTTTTAAAACACTGGGTGAGAAGGTTGACTAATGCATTTGCTAATATGTTAGCTAAACATGGGGTGAAATGGGATTTGTTTGTGCTGGGCTCAATTGTAAGAAGTTATTTTTGTATCGCGCTTCTCCAGTCTCCAAGTGATGCTTTTATTGCTTATATTACATGATTAATGAATTTATTTTACTTATCAATGAAAAAAAATCAATCAAAGTCCATGGCGTTGACTTGAGCATAAGCTAAACTGTGGGGCTACCAGCCTGCTAACATGCCTATGCCAATATCAAAATGAGTCTATTGTGACTGTTAAGCTTGTTAGAGACAAATTAGAAAGCATGTTTTCTCAAACCACCAGTGTCATGGCCCTTGTGCCTGTTTCCATCAGGTATCAACTAAGGCTCCCCCACTTTAAAATTTTCACCCAGTGTTGTATTATTATTCCACTGTATGTAGAAAAGCTACAGGATTAAACCTTGTCCATCCCTGAAATCTATAAACAATCGAGTGGGCTGGATTTTCTACTAGTGCGTTGTCATAATTATGCTTTTACAACATTTGTAACTGGTTGACGTCAAATTCTAGGTATCTCCTAGCTGAAATGGAATACCTAGTACCAGTTTCAGCTTTTATTGAATCAGTTTCCTGAATACATGCAAAATAATAATGGATCTGATGCATTGACGTATCTGTTGTTTCATTAATCCTTTTTCTGCCATATTAAAGTTCTTACTATGTCTAATGAAGACCTGCTACCAATTTCAGTTGTGAGTCTTGTGACTGGATCTGATGCATTGAACTGTCCTTTTTGAGCTACAACCTTGTGTGGTTTTGTCATAATGTTAACATATATTGTTGCTTATTTACATCATTTCTCTGTTTGCTGTGTCTATGTTCCAGGCATTACCTTTTGGACTTGATGAGAGTAACTCCGCGGGATGCAAACTATACTGGGCCTGGATGCAGATTTTGTGTTTTGAGGCCAGAACTTGTTACAGCCTTTTGCCAGGTAATCGCAAGATTTATTTCTTCCTTGCATAATCCGGCTGGATTTTTATGTTCCATTTCTAATTATTGCATGGCTTAATCTAAGCAAGGCTGAAGCCACAGAGAAGGCAAAATGTAAATCTAAACCTGATGGAGGGCTCCCCGTCTCCACTGATTCTTCCAATGTTAGTGATGTAGATGTGAAGCCAAACTCTCAGGTAAAGGGTGTTGTTTTTTGTTAGTCTTCTAATGTCATTTCACTATTGCAGTTAAGATTAGGTTTCAAAATTGTATTACAGTGTACAGTTTTTTCATGTGATACAATATGTGTTTATATTTTTGTATTTTGATCGCTTTTTGCATGAACTAATTTTGTCTTACTAAAATTGTCCTTAAATTTTTAAGTTTTGTAACCAACTTCATGTACCTGTCATCTGTCAATACTCAACATTCTCAACGAGGCTGGCTAAGCTACTTCATCCTCCATATCATTTACATTTCATCTTACAATAGGTTTCCCCATTACAGTTGTGCTCTGTTTGCCCCTTGTTTAACATATAACCATCCAGCATATTAGCTGATATATGATTCCAATTGAATCTGATCCATCTGCCTTGTTAGTGAATGAATCTCCTTCATGATATTCCTGTAGGTGCAGTATTCCTTGCTTGTTATGTTTTAACCAGCACACTACTACTTTTGAGTTCCCTTCCACTAAGAGTGAGGGCAATGATTTTCCTATCCTTAATCCTTGTAGTACAGCCAAAAGCTCAGTCCTCATGGAGTTCCGTATTCCTATGGGGCCTGAATAAAAATCGGATCATAGAAACTTCTTCCTATTAGTAACCTAGCTTGACAACTATGTTTACTAACTGAAATAACCTCTTAGTAACCTAGCTTAAGATGAATGAGGAAAACAATCAAGCAAATGTAAAGTCAAGATCACAAGCAAAAGCTTTAATTTGTTTATGCTAGTACACTTGTGAGGGACCTGCAAGATGATTTTAGGCCACAATTTTAGTGAAACTCTCTCTCTCTCTTTCTCTACCATCATTACCACTACCACTACCACTACTACAACTTGTACTACTACATTTATTTTTTTGATCAATAACATCAATTTCATTAAGTTAAGAGAATAAAGGGAAAGGAATACAAAGGGAGATAAAATAACTTAGCTCCCCAAAAATTAGAAAACTCAGAGAATATAAAGAAAATTAAGTTTTCTTTATGTTGTTACTCATAAAGGAGGAAGTTGGAGGACATCCTGATCAAGGAGGAAATCARTTGGAGGCAAAAATCTAGGTGTAAGTGGCTAAGGGAGGGAGACAGAAACACAAGGTTTTTCCATTCAATGGCAAATGGAAGGAGAAAAAAGAATTACATCTCTAACTTGGAAGTTRATGRARCAGTTTTGTCTCACCCGGTTGAAATTGCAGAGGCCCTAGTAAATCACTTCAAATCTATTTTTAGAAGGCCTATGAATGAGAGAGTGTGGTTGGAGGGTTTGGATTGGCCGACTCTAAGTGCAGAGAAGAGAGAGTGGCTAGAAAAAAGATTCGATATGGAGGAGGTAAAGGAAGCAGTTTTCTCTATGGATAGGACAAAAGCTCCGGGTCCAGATGGGTTCACGATGGCCTTTTACCAGGATTGCTGGGATATCTTGGAGAATGATCTTGCTTCGGTCTTTGAGGAGTTCCACAGGAGGGGTGTAATAAACCCGGGATTGAACTCAACTTTCATTGCCTTAGTCCCAAAGAAGAAAGATGCCTCTCAACCAAAAGATTTTAGACCTATTAGTCTGGTGACTAGCTTGTACAAAATCATTGCTAAGGTGCTATCTCTCAGGATAAAGAAGGCGCTCCCCTCTATTATTGCACCCAACCAAAGTGCTTTTGTGGAGGGAAGACAGATCACCGATCAGATCCTCATTGCAAATGAGAGATTGGAGAGCTTTAGAAAGTCAAAGAAGAAGGGAGTGGTCTACAAATTGGATATGGAGAAGGCTTTCGACTTGGTTGATTGRTCATTCTTGATGGAGGTGTTGAGGAGTTTTGGTTTTGGTGACAGGTGGTGCAAGTGGATCTGGGGCTGTGTTAGGACTTGCCATTATTCTATCCTGGTGAACAAGTCTGTGGTTGACTTCTTTCCGGCGTTGAGAGGTCTAAGACAAGGAGATCCTCTTTCCCCTTTTCTTTTCACCCTTATTGTTGATGTGTTTGGGCGTTTGATCCATAGAGCAGACTCGAGGAATCTGATAAGAGGGTGGAGAGTAGGGAGGGAGGAGGTTCCCTTAACTCTTCTACAGTTTGCAGATGATACTATCATTTTCTGTGAAGGAGGGAACCTCAGTTGGATCCAGAATCTAAAGTCGACAATACAACTTTTTGAGCAGATATCTAACCTCAAGGTAAACTTCGACAAGAGTTGTGTGGCGGGAGTGAATGTAAACGAAAGAGAACTAAGGGAATCTGCAGATGAGCTAGGTTGTGCCATTACGGATTGGCCCATGACTTACTTGGGCCTTCCTTTAGGAGATAATCCTAAGAGTGTCAGCTTTTGGGCTCCGGTAGTGGAGAGGTTTGAGAAGAGGCTAGCGGCCTGG